GGAAAGACAGTTTTTTTTAAATATTTTTAAATATTTGGACACATTTGTACACAACATTTTCTAGTCCCAAACTAAGCAAAGCTTGTACTATGGGTACTAGAAAACTGATAAACATACATAAACATACTTTTCTTTTGTAAATAAATACATATTATACATATAGAAACACCCAGACACTAGAAAAACACCATGTTCATCACACAATATTTTTCCAGTAGTGGGGATCGAACCCACACCCTCTGGCGTAGGAGGCAGGTACACTACCCACTACGCCATTCGGGTCGTCATTCGGGTCGTCAAGTTATATATAAAATATGTACATAAATTATAGCATATGTCTTATTCTGATAAATAAGCTATATTATTGTAGTTTCATTAAAATCCATTAAGCAGTATTTGCGTTAAAGAGTAACAAACAACCATCCATACATACAAACTTTCGCCTTTATAATATTAGTAAGGATATTTTTTATGTTAATTCGAAAATATGCACTTTTCCTCACGACGTTTTCCTTCGCCGCTGAACACGTGATAAGACAGCACTAAAAATTGTTTTAAAAATGTGAATGGTGTCGGCACTGGGACTTGAACCCAGGCTGTTCGAGTATATTGAATTTAAAGCGAGCAGCCGGACACTGAGCTATCACGGCCAGTTACTTAATTATCATTTTATAACCGATGGTATGATTAACGGACGCACCTTCCTGTGACCATACATTCTGGAAACTGCTCGAAGTGTTAATAATTTAAGAGCTAATGAAATAAAAAGAAACCTTCGTACTATGGGGTAGACGCAGTTCTTTCATATAACTACGTTCTCTCAGTCGATTGAAAAATAACTAATTTTTTATGTAAAAGGTTGCCAAGCGAGCAGACGGTTCACCTGATGTTAAGTGAATACCGCCGCCCATGGACATCTGCTACACCCGAGGGTTCCAGGTGCGTTGACAACCTTTTTGAAAATTGGGCTCCGGCCACCTCACTCACCTGGCGAAACGCGGAAGTATTATACTATCACTTTACGCCGGTCTTCTGTGAGGTCGTGGAACTTACCCGGACGAGCCCGCCCATTCATACTTCCATATAGCTTATGATCGCCGGTATTCATTTAAAATTCTGTTCGCAGAATTAGGAATTTAGAAAAAAAGATAATTTGCGAAAACACATACATTAGTGTCGTATACAATCATTATTTTTGTGCATACCGTTAATTATTCTTGGTGCCAAAGAAAGAGTAACGTATTTCTTACAAATTGAAACATTTTCCTTTAAAACGACTATGGGCCCGGATTTTATTAACAATGTTAATGGTTTTGATATTATTGCATGGAACTACTTTCCTGAAATAAAAGCTGCTTAAGTCATTCGTTATAACATCAGCTATCTACCAATGAATGGCCCTTTAAAATCGGTCGAACCGTTTCGAAAATTAGCTGGAACAAACGGACAGACAGAGTTATAAAATTCTTTTAAATCAAATTTTTGATATATGGTAACGTGCAAACATTCATATGCATATTATTGTTATCTAGGCATTACTTTAATTTCCTTCATTTTAAAAAAATTATCACACACTTAACTTATACAATTTAGTAAAAACGTAGTGTCATATATAATACGTAAATATGTAGTGTTCACGATGAACACTGCATTTTATACTCGATGAACAGTTCATCGTCAATTCGGGGCGTGTGTAAAACTCTACCACCTCGTTAAAGAGATCGGACAGCGGAAAACCATAATGTAATTACGTGGACGGATGTCCCGTAAGTAACGTATGATTTTGAGTTGGCACGCTTAATTGGCCGCCTATATTTTTACGGTGGTAGGGCCACGCAGCAGCCTCGGCTGTTTTTTTTTTAATATTTGCATGAATATCGGGCATCTTCGGCCCGTCCAGATGTGGTAAGTATGTGGGCCCCACGACCTCCTCAACAGAAGACCGGCAAAGTATAATAAAGTGGAAGTATGACAAATACTTTCGCGTTTCGTCTGGTGAGTGAGGTAGCCGGAGCCCAATTTTCAAAAGGTTGTCCACGCATCTGTAACCCTCGAGTGTAGCAGATGTCCGCTGTGGTAGGGCGGCGGTATTCACTTAACATCAGGTGAACCGTCTGCTCGTTTGACAACTTTTCGCATAAAAAAAAAAAAAAAAAAAAAAAAAAAAAGAGTAGGTGTAGGTACTTTGGGGTAGTGATATTGCGTTTGTGTCACGCCCGCTTACAGACTATTACGACAGACTTTTTTTGTTTTTTCTTTTAAAGGATATTAATTTTCACAGTATTGTTCTTTGCACTCAAGATGAAATTTCGGTTTCGTCGGTTGCGTGCCCCGGAGGACGCAGGTTCAAATCCTTGCAGCGGTGAATGGCCTTTCGTCCAGTTTTTTAAAGTCGTTATTTGAGTTACAAAAAAATGTCACGTGTGGTCAAACGGGACAGAAGAGAAGGGACTGAAAGATAGTCCTGGACGTGACCCCGTCTATGCATGCGACTGCTTTTTGCACCAACATGTCTGATAACGGATACTTGGACACGCTCGGATCTCAAATCCAACAAATCAATCGCCACATCATCGCTCGATAATAAAATAATTTACAGTAAAAATACGTCTTGTGTGCTAAAATATTTGTCACTTCACACCAAGGCCGTTCCATGACTGTAACTATTGTATTAATATGAAGATAATTACCAAGTTCATTATATCGGAATTCGAAGGCGATACCTAATGACTCTTACGCATTAATATAAAATGCGTTTTATAGTCATAAAAAACAGTTAAAACAATATTACTGGTCGTTAGCCAAAATTTCGTTATTATTAAATAGATTCATTTCAATAATATAGTGCAACGGGACACAACGGTCGTGTACAAATATTCGAGAAACATTGTATCTATTTATTTTTCGGTTCAAAATCTAATAGTGGTGGGCCAGTTTACCAGTCATAACAGAGGTCATAATTGAATTTTCATCTTTTAAAACTTGTTAATTTACCACATAAAGCTTAAGAGTGATGGACGTTATCAAAATTAAGTAAGTGCATCTTAGACGGTGATATAATATGTACATTTAAAAAACATAATAAAATAAGTGTGCTTAAGGAAAATTCATTGCATTTTGATAACTTCACAGGGAAAATCAAAAGGAGACATTCAAATTACTGTCTTTCAACCACGCTTGAAATCTTTATCAAATAATAGCGTGCATAGAAATATGTTGAACAATTTACTCCAAGCGAGGGAGAACGTAAACATTTACGTTTAGCTCACTGAAATCGTAAGCGCTCTTCAATAGTTTGTTCCATTTGTTGTTTAGTTACAGTGATGGGGTCGCGCAACAGTTTCTGCCGTTGAACGGATGGGCAGCCTCGTCCGGGGATGTGCCACTGCAGAAGACTGGCGACAAGTGGAAGCACTAAACTTTCACGTTTCGTCAGGCTAGTGAGATAACCGAGTCCCACTTTTATAAAGGTTTGCAACGCAAGTACCGCAGAAGATCATTTTTATATGGGTGGCGACGTAGCTGCATTATAGATGTCCATGGGCGGCGGTAGTCACGAGACTTGATTAAAATCAAGAGAACCGTCTGTTCGCTTGCCAATTTTTCTCCTAAACGCTTAATAGTCTTCATGTATTCCAAGTGTATATATTAGATACTTATAAATTAGATCTATGGGAAAATGCTTCTCTAAAGATTACAATCAATTCGAATTCCTAATATGAGAGACACGAATAATGGTAATGGGCTCCTGTTAAGTCCATCCTCAACTGAATCGCTACGTGACTTGTTGTTTAAGTAATAGCCTTTGAAGAGAGGTCGGGTGATCGTTTGACTCGAATTAAAATTTACCTCATAACAACCGTGTATCGCTAAATTCTACCTCGAATTTAATTGCAAAGTTGCGAAATTGAGTGCACACAAAGGACATTTTTTAACTTACATATATTTGAAAATATACATGATTGTATTAGACATATCAACATATAAATTCTAGTGCAATGTGGAAGTAAATTGAATTAAATTATCGTGTTTCATTCCAACATTCGACGATCATAAATAATAATATCAAAGATATGATATCTCCCATCATTACACTACTTTTTTACGGGCCATACATGAAGTTTTACAACAACATCAAACAAAAACGTTATCCAAATAAAACTAAGGTAGCAAAGAGAAACACCCACATAATATGTACACAAGCAGACCATACCTTGTATTTCAGCCGATCGCCGTCAAAAATTGTTATCCAAGAAGATACCTTAGATCTTTAAAGTCAAGAGAAAACCCAATTTGCCTAGTATATAGTAAAATATGTGAAAAGTAATGTAAATCATATTACTGGAAAAATATTGTGTGTTGAACATATTTTTTTTCTAGACTCTATATTTATATATCGTAAAATATATAATCATTATCCTCCTGCCATTTATCCGACCTAGGTGGGCGTCGGTGAGCAATGTTAATCATTTTGTAAGTGGTTTTAGCTAGGTTTCATACGACAGGTCGCCTGCCTGACGTCAACCCTCATTGACCAACAAACATCCAGATCGGGAACAATTATCTGGCCATCACACAAATAGTTTCCAATTAGGAATCGAAACGCACGACCGCCGGCTCCGAAGCCAACAGCTTAGCAACTGCGCCACTGACTCATATCTAAGATATGTATTTATTTTAAAAAGAAAACTATTTTAAATGTTTAGTTCACATAAGATGAAACTTAAAAAAAACGCGTAATCCGGAAAATTCAAATCATATAAGCGGCGAATAATTTTACGAATGTTTCATCTATATTTTTAAAGAAAAGTATGTTTTGAAATATTTATCAGTAGCCATAGTACAAGCTTTGCTTAGTTGTGACTGGATAACGTTGGGTAAAAATTTATATATTGAAATGTTTATATTATTTTTGTAATATCTTTTGTTTCACTGACTAATTATTTATAATATACGACGCACATGACCTGTTTATAAATGTAGAACATTGATTATTCCAGATGAAACATCGGCACCAGTCGCCATCATTGGCGGCGATAATATGGCTGCTGGTCGTCATCGCTCTGCCAGCGAAAACGCAAATTACCAACCCTGTCACATCCTTCTTGAATTTCCTCCATGAAGGAACCAACCAACTGGATAACGAACCGCCCGATCAGAACAACTTACTCACAGAATACGACTTCATTGTCGTCGGTGCCGGTACCGCCGGCTGCGTGCTGGCCAATCGCTTAACCGAAATACCCGATTGGAAAGTTCTCCTCGTGGAAGCAGGCAACAACGAAAACTTCGTCATGGACATACCAATCCTGGCGAATTATCTACAGTTCACCCCGGCCAACTGGGGCTATAAGACGAAACCATCCAGCAGGTACTGCGCGGGCTTCGAAAACCAACAGTGCAACTGGCCACGGGGTAAAGTCGTAGGTGGATCGAGCGTCCTAAATTACATGATATACACGAGAGGCGCATCAAACGATTATAATCGCTGGCAGGAAATGGGTAACGAAGGCTGGGGTTGGAACGACGTTCTCCCCTACTTCAAAAAGGTGGAGAACTTCAATATACCTTCATTCGACGATCCAAAGTATCATGGTTACGAAGGATATTTGAATATCGAGAATTCCCCATACCGCACCACAAAATCTAAGGCGTGGGTCAAAGCGGCACAAGAGATGGGCTTCAAGTACGGAGATTACAACGGTGCTAATCCGTCTGGTATTTCGTTTTTACAGTTATCTATGAAAAACGGGACCCGACACAGCTCAAGCAGAGCATACTTACATCCGATTAACGAAAGAAATAATCTCCACTTGTCTAAGAACACTATGGTGACAAAGCTGATTTTTGACAAGACCAAAACCAAAGTAATAGGTGTAGAATTAGAAAAACGAAATAAAAAGTATAAAATTTTAGCAAAGAAAGAGGTAATTCTGTCAGCTGGTGCAATAAATTCGCCGCAGTTACTAATGCTTTCAGGCATTGGTCCAAGGAAGCACTTGGAGTCAATGAATATTCCAGTTATAAAAGATCTACCAGTTGGGTATAATTTGATGGATCACATAGCTGCTGGTGGTGTGCAGTTTATGGTTACTAAACAAAACGTGAGTTTAAGTACAGAATATATATTGAATCATTTAGAGGTAGTGTTCAAGTGGATGAAAACACACACAGGACCGCTGTCAATACCTGGAGGTTGTGAAGCTCTTGTTTTCATGGACTTAAAAGATAAGTTCAACTCAACCGGATGGCCGGATATGGAACTACTTTTCGTTAGCGGGGGGTTGAACTCCGACCCATTATTAAAAAAAAACTTCGGATTCGACGAGAACATCTACATAGACACATACTCGTCGTTGGAGAAACAAGACTTATTCATGGTCTTCCCAATGCTGATGCGCCCGAGGTCAAAGGGTAGGGTAAAGTTAACAAACAGAAACCCAAAAAGTCATCCGACCTTGATACCAAACTACTTTGAATATCCCGAGGACCTGCAAAAAATCGTTGAAGGTATCAAAGTAGCCATTCAAATATCGAGACAGCCGGCCCTGAAGAAAATTGGCGCAAAGATATACGACGTGCCGATAGAAGACTGTTTGAAGTACGGCCCATTCGGGAGCGATGCTTACTTCGCGTGCCAGGCTCAGATGTTCACTTTCACGATATACCACCAGAGTGGCACATGTAAAATGGGAATCGCGAGTGACCCCACGAGCGTTGTCAACCCTAGGCTCAAAGTGCACGGTATAGCAAAATTAAGGGTCATCGACGCAAGTATTATGCCAGAGATAGTATCGAGTCATACAAATGCACCAGTTTTCATGATAGCCGAGAAGGGGGCGGACATGATCAAAGAAGAATGGCGCAGGATGAGATGAAATTTTGTGGGAAATTTATGATTTTAGAATAATAAACATAATCTGTGATGTAATAAGTTACAATAGTGGGACTTTTAACGTTTATATTTTAAGATAATCAGTTGACAGTGCGTCATTAATGATGGTGGAGTTTATTACATAATCTTTATTATTAATTAATTTATTTCTGAACGTCATTGACTAATGGTATTAAAGGTACGATATGGACAATTATATTAATTTAATTAACTGTATATTCCGCAGTTAAATTATCATTTTGTTGATAAAAAAACGGGATGAAGAAAAACGCATTGCTATTTTGTCCATAATTGTCTGTGCCATCAATAACTTATTTATTTTTAGTAAAATATGGAAATCAAAACAATGCTGTTAGTAATTATTCATATTGAGACCTAAATAAAGGAAACTAGCTCTGAGTCATCATGAAGAAATAACTGGATATAAATATCTTTATAACTTTACAGTATTGTGTAATGTAACTAAGGTATTTTAAGCTCTTGGAAATAGTCTTTGTAATATATTTATCAAATTACTGTTTTTTTTTTTTTGCACAAAAATAAAAAAAAATTGTATCACAATTTGCAATGACAGTGATGATCGAAGTCAAAACATTAATATGGAGAACAATTAATATGGCTGAATGGCAAATATTCACAGCAGCAGTAGAACAGCAGAGCCAGCTCGACCGGGGGTACCCGGGTCTCTCATATTACTAGCGTGTTATGAAAAAATATAATATTAATGAATCCTTTTACTTTGGCTCACACTTGGCGGCTAACAACACTCCAGGAAGTGTGTTTTGGTGCAGTAAGAATCTATGGTAAATAATCGCTAGACTGTTTGAACAGTGACTATGTATCTGATATTAAAATCGTTTTCAGTCATTAATACTGAAAACTACTGTGATGCTGTGAGTGTGCATTAATGCTAAAAACTACAGTCATTAATGCTGAAAACTACTGAAAAATTACTGTGTTATTTCCACAGATTTCTACTTTGATGTGTGACATTACGGGAAATTTCCTGAATCAAATCAAAACAATTTTAATTGTGGTTTTCGATCTGGTTTTGTCACTTCCAGTTTGTAAATTAGTGTTGTCGTTGTTGTTTTTTACAGAAATATCACCACATTCCCCGAGCTGGAGCATTAAGTGGTTTTTCGTACATGTATAGTTAATTGCAAGAATCCGGTTCTCACTTAATATTTTGTTTTTGTCTTAATATTCAGCAGTTATATTATAACTGCTGAATATTAAGACAAAAACAAAAAACGTACTGACTTCATTAATTATAATATTTGCCTACTTGTATTTGGTCTTAAAGATTTATACTCAAAAATTAACAGGTCACGTCAATACACATTCAACTTGGGCTTACGGTATGGAACTTTTAAAAAAACTTTTGATGTCTTGGCTTAATAAAATAATGCGTCGAGGAAAATATCATGTAGCTTAGGGTTATGTACTTTACTTTACTATTATATTAAGGCCTCGTTTTTCAGATATCTGCCGAAATGATAAACTTTCGCACATTCACTCTATATTCAACGATCCTAACCTAGCCCCTGTCACATTTTCCATGATTTTATAAAACATTCAGTATAACAGACCTATGAATAATACCGAATTAAATAAACATATCATAACAGATTAATTATAACAACAAATATATTTTTAATAATCTTTGTACCAACATACAGCAACAGGAAATGTGTTTTCTTTTGTTTTTCTTATTTCCATGTGAATAAAAAGCACTTGATATTAAATAAGATCTTTGTAGGTAACTCGTGAAGCAGGTATAACCGACGAAACGTGAACTGTTCAACTGTTTTATTTAAAAGCTACGCCAGAAAATGTCACTTGCTTCTACATCAGTCATATTTTTCAACATTAACAACAAGTAAGGAGGAAGTGATATGCACGAAGTTGGGGATTCGAATCATATTAGTAAAGAAGACATCTATAATTTGTGTCTTTTTTGAGTTCAATCGTTTGAACGTTTGCCCCTGTTTACGTCGAACGGTTTATAAACTGTTAAAGTTGGACTTAAAAGTGCGGCGCAACTTTTTCGTTGCCTTTAAATAGTTCATTTACAGTTTCGACAAATATTAACTTCTTGTTTATGGAAAAGGAAACGTAGGAGCAGTCGGGCCACCTGATGTTAAGTGTTCACCGCCGCCCATGGACACTCGCAACAGCAGAGGACTTAGAAATTCTTTGCCGGCATTTGAAGAAGGAATAGGCATAGGTCTTCTTGAAGGTCCCTAAGTCGTATCAGTCCGGAAATACCGCTGGCGACAACTGTTTCGACAACTTGGTTATTCGTTTGCGTGCAGAAAGTTATGGTCGTAGACTGCCAACCATCGAGGTGGTAACAATGTGGTATTTGGCAGTTTGACGCGTCGAACGTTGCCGAAATTCAGAAGCAGTGACATATCCGAAATACTCCTCAGAGCACTCCCCGTAATAGATCCGATTAAAAAGCGCAAAGCGATGAAACATCTCTTCGCAAGGCCAAAGTGTCGAGTCGATTGGAAAGGACCTGGTCGTCGACGATTAGAGCAGTTCTACGTTGGATGCGTTGGATGCGGTCAAATGGAAGGAGCTGGTATTGGTTATTGATAACTGAGAAATGCATAGCCTTGAGAAGTGTAATGGAACGGTTAAATCGAGTTGCTCTTTACAAGCTAAATACTGTGAAAAAAAGTATCTATAATACACTTTTTTTTATTGGCAGGCAATTATAGTAACCTCTTTATTATTGATGCGACTATAAGCAGACAGGCACGATTTTACTATGATTTTACTTATTCAAAATGATCCTATAGCTATAATGTATTTTAATATGATCCGTGTAATTCAGATCTAAAAAATTCATTATGTATGCATATTAGGCAGGTATATAACCAACATTTATTATTCAAAAAAGAGCTGTCCGAACAATATCTATATATATATATATATATATATATTAAAAATTTACAATATCGGAGCCCGGAATTCACTCAGAGATCTTTTCAAAGGGGTGAATATACTCACTGTTGCTTCACATTTATTCTAATATTTTGTATATACGTCATAACCTTAATTATTACCTAAAGAATAGTGACAGACATAAAATAAACACTAGAAATAAGGACAAACTTACTACGCCATTGTTTCGTCTACAAAAAGTAAATAAGTCGTTCATGGGGCAAAGTGTGCGCATGTATAATAAAATCCCACAGTCGATATTAAGTCTGCCGCTTGACCTATTTAAATGTAAAATTAAAAATCTACTTATGATTTAAGCATATTATATCATTTCGGAATATCTCGACGACGCCAATTGGAGTTAATACTGTTGATACTCACGTAGGCTAGAATAAGACTATTATACCTGTATATTATATTGTACCCTGACATTTTTGAAAAAGAGCAACTGTTGCGTTTCTTGCCGGTCTCTTCCCAACAGAAACTGCTTTCAGAACCGGTGGTACCTTACGAACCGATATATATAATCTTTGATGTAAAAATTGACGATTCATAAATTATTTTAATTTTTTTAAATTTGAATAAATATATTTTTGATTTTAAATTATTAAATTTAGTACTCTTCGCTAAACTTTTTAAAGAAATAAGTTCTAAACTGTGGCAAATAGGACGACGACCATCTTTCTGATCCTGTAAAATAATTCAGAGCAAAGTCGATTAAAGTCATGTTTCGAGACGGTGAAAGGCGAAATCATAGGTAAATCATGTTTAAAAAGTTTCTAATTATTATAATTTCGAGACCATTAAGATACTATTATTGTAAAATGTCTTGTGATTCTTCTTAACAAAAATTCGAATCGCCTGTTTTCATTATGAGTATTGTTAAATAAAAAAAATAACAGTCGTTAGTTTAGAATTTAAATACGTGACTTTTGTTTTTTTTTTGTTTTTTTCATGTTTATTTGTTTATGTTTATCTACATGTCAAAAGCCGACTCTTGCTAATAAGCAGGAGCTAATTTCACTCGCCCGTTCCCCTGATGTGAGTTAGAATACATGGAATAACTAACGCAGAATGACAGGATGCTTCTTAATGAAAAAAAAAGTTTCCACTTCGTATTGTTTTAAGCTTTAGATTTATGCGACATTAAACTGCAAAGCTTTGTAATTTGAAGCAGGCGAATAACGCAGGAGCATTGTTTTATACAGTGGCGCTATAATCACATGTATGTATAATCAGTTAAAATTTGTGGAAAATTAATTTATTTAATCTTAAGTGCAGAGAGTAGCACTATAAAAATTTCAATCAGTTAATTATATTACACTAAGCTGTATATGACACTAAGCTAACTAAGTGGAGTGTCCATTTGATTTGTTAAAAAAATTATGTAATGAGATGGATATCCAAATTTAGTTCGCAAATTTACGTTACTGCCTTCTTGCTGATTGCTTTTACGCAGGCGTATAACTCGAAATCCTTTTAGTTGCTATTGCAAATATACATTCGCTATATATCACTATCAATACTGATACTTTTCGTGGAGACGAAAAACGACGACACCAATGAAGTTTTGAAAGCCTTTAACGCTTCAACATTTAAGCTGAAAATATATAATGTCGAGTTAAAATATTCATTAAAAATATATTCATCCAAGTTATTGCACTAAAAACATAGTTATATTTTTGGGTAGCTTTCAAGTTTAAATCGCTGACTGCCTTGTGCCCAATACCCATTTGCATACACTTGCGGACACAGCTCCTACCTGCACAGTTATTTTTATATATTGGTAAATATTCCAGGGGCTGTTGGTTAAAAACAGTTGGCGTCTAAACAAAAACAACTTTTTATGTAGACTTCTATTGTGTTTATTATAAAACATAAAATCTCTTTTTTATTTTTACTTATAAACACAGGCTCAAATACTCGTCATGCGTCACGTTAACCAGGAATCGCTTGGCACTTGAAAAGCTACGTTCATCACCCATCTGAATGAACGGTGAAGGCTAATTCTTTTTTTACGTGTTA